AGCGGTCCAAATGGCCGACAAAGGGAAGGGCATTTCGCGATGTGCACCCTGCCAGGCCATGGCGATCAGCCGGATCGAGCCACAGCCTGGTCCAGCGGAGGATAATATAGATCCGCGAATTTAGGAAATCCCCCCTAAGTGGCCCGGTTGAGGATCTGTCCGAAGTTTCGGTTGATCCAAAAGAGCCGAGCCGAGTGTTAAAGATCGGAAGCTGTCTCAACCCCCAGCTCGCTTCCGAGCTAGTGAGCTTCTTGAAGGAGAACATTGACGTGTTCGCCTGGTCGCACGCAGATATGGTCGGGATCAGCCCGGACATTATTTGTCATTCACTGAACGTCAGCAGTGAAGCCAAGCCAGTTCGCCAAAAGAGAAGGGCGATGGATCCGGAGCGGTACGCCGCATTAAAATCAGAAGTGGAGAACCTTCTTCGCAATGGATCTGTTCGCGAGGCCCTCTACCCGACCTGGGTTGCTAACCCGGTCCTGGTAAAGAAGCCAAATGGCAAGTGGCGGACCTGCGTGGACTTCAGCGACCTGAACAAAGCTTGCCCAAAAGACAGCTTCCCCCTGCCAAGAATCGACCAGCTCGTTGATGCCACCTCGGGGCACGAGCTGTTAAGCTTCATGGATGCATACTCGGGATACAATCAGATCCCGATGTATAAGCCAGATGAGGAGCATACGACCTTCATTACGGACCGGGGGCTATACTGCTACAAAGTCATGCCCTTCGGCCTCAAGAATGCGGGTGCGACCTATCAGAGGTTGGTCAACCGAATGTTCTCCGACCAGATCGGGAGGACAATGGAGGTCTATGTGGACGACATGCTGGTCAAATCCCAGGTCGCCTCAGAGCATATTACGCATCTCGCTGAGATGTTTGACATACTCCGGCTCTACAGAATGAAGCTGAACCCTCTCAAATGTTCATTCGGGGTATCGTCAGGAAAGTTCCTGGGATATATGGTCAATCAGCGGGGCATAGAAATAAACCCCGAAAAGATTCAAGCTCTGCTCGATATGGAGAGCCCGACCAGCAAAAAGCAGGTCATGAGTCTGAACGGGCGAATAGCGGCACTTAGTCGCTTCATATCAAGGCTAACAGACCGCTGTTTACCATTCTTCAATGTTCTGAAGGCCAATAAGAAATTCGAGTGGACCTCCGAATGCGAGCAGGCATTCCAGAGTATAAAAGAGCATCTCGGGAAGCCACCTCTCCTCTCTAAGCCTCTTCCACAGGAAATCCTGCTCATCTACCTGTCCGTGTCTCAGTTCGCGGTCAGTGCAGCTTTAATACGGGAAGAGGAAAAAGCTCAGTGGCCAGTATATTATGCAAGTAAGCGTCTATCGGATGCCGAGATGCGGTATCCGGAAATGGAGCGACTAGCTTTTGCTCTGCTGGTCGCGTCCAGAAAGCTGCGACCTTACTTCCATGCCCATACAATCAATGTAATGACAAATTACCCTCTCAGGCAGGTCCTCCAGAAACCAGAGGCCTCGGGTAAACTGCTCAAATGGGCCATGGAACTGAGCCAGTTCGACCTAAAGTATAAGCCCAGGTCGACCATCAAAGGGCAGGCTGTTGCAGACTTCATCTCGGAATTTTCCTATCTCCCAAGCGAGCTACAGTCTAGCGAAGTCGGGCAAGAAACTATTCAGAACTTGTCGACCTGGAACCTCTACGTCGACGGGTCATCAAACAGGAAAAGAGCCGGTGCGGGTCTTCTCCTGGTGAGCCCCGAGGGGGCTCGAATTCATGGTATTCTCCGGTTCGGGTTTAAGGCGACCAACAATGAGTCCGAGTACGAAGCTCTGCTCGCCGGGTTGCGACTCGCCAAAGAAATGGGTGCAACCGCGATCAGCATTTACAGCGACTCTATGCTGGTCGTCAACCAGATTCTAGGGGAATACCAAGCCAAGGAAGAGAACATGGTCCGCTACCTGAAAGAAGCTAAGGTCTCTCTGGGGTCGTTTAAGCACTTTGAAATCGCTCAGATCCCCAGGGAGAGCAACTCAATAGCGGACGCCTTGGCAAAGATAGCCTCATCATTAGATTCTGAGGCTCCTGATAGCATTCCTGTTCGTTTTGTCGATGCTCCGACTATCAGCTCGACCGAACAGGCCATGAACGTGGTTCAGCCAGATTCCTGGATGACTCCCATTGTACAGTACCTCAAGGATGGGACCTTGCCTAGCGACAAGGTCAAGGCAAGGGTCCTGCGAGTAAGGTCTGCTCGTTTCACACTCATCGGGGATCAGCTGTACAGGAGAGGATTCAGTGCCCCTCTCCTCCGATGTGTAACCAGTGAAGAAGCAGACTACATCATGAGGGAAATTCATGAAGGGATCTGCGGTAACCACACAGCAGCTCGATCTCTTGCGAACAAGGTTGTTCGTCAGGGATATTATTGGCCCCGAATCCAAGAAGATGCGCACAACTTTGTCAAGAAGTGCGACAAGTGCCAGCGGTTCGCGAACATTCCGCGAGCCCCATCTCACGAGCTGATTACTATGTCTAGCCCCTGGCCATTTTCCATGTGGGGGATCGACCTTATCGGCCCCATGCCAGTTGGAAAGGGAGGGGTCAAGTATGCCGTGGTCGCGGTAGACTATTTCACAAAATGGGTTGAAGCCGAACCACTAGCCGCGATCACGACCAGAAAGCTAAAAGACTTCGTTTTCAAGAACATAGTGTGCCGCTACGGAATTCCTCACACCCTCATCTCAGATAATGGAAAGCAATTCGATAATGAGGAGTTCAAGCAGTTCTGCGACGAGCTGGGCATCCATAAAAAATTTGCCTCAGTCGCCAGACCGCAAGCGAATGGCCAAGTTGAAGCAGTCAACAAGACCATCAAGCACACTCTGAAGGCCAAGCTCGGGGCAGCCAAAGGAAATTGGGCTGACGATCTCCCCGAAGTCTTATGGGCGTACAGGACAACTCCAAGGACCTCCACCTCGGAAACCCCTTTTTCGCTAGCCTATGGCTGCGAAGCGATGATCCCTGTAGAGGTCGGAACTGGTTCTCTTCGGAGGGACTTGTACAATGAGGTCGAAAACGAAGTGCTTATGAGAGCAAGTTTGGACCTGGTCGAAGAGCACCGCAACAAGGCTTCGCTAAGGATAGCAGCCTACCAGCAGCGAGCAAAAAGGTTCTTCGACTCAAAGGTCAGGCGAAGAGACTTCCAGGTCAGAGACCTTGTGCTAAAGGAAGTTCTCCTCGGGACCAGAGAGCCAAGCGCGGGGGTACTAGGATCTAACTGGGAAGGTCCGTACCGGGTCGACAAAGTGATCAGACCGGGGACCTACCATCTCAAAAGATTGAACGGCTCCAAGGTACCCCGAGCTTAGAATGTCGAGCACCTCCGGCCATACTATCAGTAATCCCGAACTCAGCTCTCCGTTTTTGCTAATTTCTTTTTAAGTATTACTTTGTTCGCTCAAAAACAGTTCGCATGTGTTCTGTTCGCATGTAAGAATTTATATGTAATCGCATATGTGAATCAATTGTAAAGTGTACATATATATGAAAAAGCGAACTGCAATTGTAAAGAAAAAGTATCTTCATTTATGCAAAAGTCAAAAGACCCGATTACAATGGGGACAACTCATTACGCTAAGGCTAAGGCTGGTCGGGGGGATCCTTCGAGCCGGAACCACCTGCCTGGTCGGGTCCCTGAGCGGCCGCGACGGTCTAGTCGTCCTCCTCGGCCATGATCCGCAAGGTCGCCTGCCAACCCTCTGGGAGGTCGGACAAGTCCAAACCCGGGTTCCTTGCTCGCAGGGTGTAGATGGACCCGATTGCCCAGTCCGCGGCCTTTTCCTCCATCTCCTCTGACTGATTCTGCATTTCTTCAGTTAGAGAAGCGACCCTTTCCCGACCCTCCTGAAGCTCGGCCTCAAGAGCTAGCTTCTCCTGTTCGGAGGCCTCCCTATCTTCTTCAGCTCACTGAGCCCGTGCGAAGGTCGCCTGGATCTCCTGGTCCTTTTCTCCGACCTCCTTAGAGAGCCTGGCGGTTGTCCTTTGAAGTTCCTTGACTTCCTCCGCACGTCGATCGAGCTCTGTCTTCTGGAAGTCCACTGTTTGTAAAGCAGCGTCCTTTTGGTTCAGATACTTGTTCGCCGCTTCGAACGCTTGAGTTCTTTCCGCTTCAACGGACTCCAAGCTATGCTTTGGTTCCCTTTCGCTTTGCGACCTCTTCCTTCAGGTCGCTGTCCCTTGGCGGCCCCAGCCCGTCTTTCCATGACATCCTATCGCAGCAACGCCTGCGAGCAAGATATGAGTTAGAAATAAACAGAATGAATTTCAAGTAACTCGTTTACCTTGTCAGATGCTGGAACGACGTGGTCATAGGTCGTTGCCCGTTCGCGAAACTCGTCGTACGACCCGAAGCTCGCATCGAGCAGCCATAAGACTAGGCTGCAGTATTCGCAGACTCCCCAATGAGTCTAGAACGGCTGTCCTTGCCTTGCCCGACGATAGCGCGCTCGCACGGGCTCCTTGCCAACCTCCTGGTTCTGGCGGACCTCAGAGGCTCTTTCCTCAGATTCAGTCTCCGACTCTTCGGCTGAATCTGCTTCCTCTTCTGACTTGGGCTGGAGCCTCGCTTTGGGCGAGCGCTGGGCCTGAGGCCTGTTCGTCCTGGCGCTTCTTGCACAAGGAGACTGGGAAGGTCTGTACGGTCGACAAAGTAATCAGACGGGGACTACCATCATCAAAAGATTGAAGGCTCCAAAGACCCCGAGCTGGAAGCGAGACCTCCGGCCATACTATCAGTAATCCTGAACTCCTCTCAGTTTTGTTAAATTTCTTAAGTAAGTATTACTTTGTTCTGCGCGAAACAGTTCGTATGTGTTCTGTTCGCATGTAAGAATTTGTAGACAATTGCTTATGTAAATCGCAAATTGTAAATTGTACATATAATATATGAAAAAAGCGAACTGCAAATTGTAAAGATAGTTCCATTCATTTACAAACAAAAAGAGTCAAAAGACCCGATTACAATGAGGACAACTCATTACGCTTAAGGCTAGTCAGGGGGATCCTTTGAACCAGAACCCCCTGCCTGGTCGGGTCGTTGGGCGCCCGCGGCTTCCTGATCGTCCTCTTTGGCCATGATCCGCAAAGTCGCTTACCAACCCTCCGGGAGGTCGGACATGTCCAGATCCGGGTTCTTTGCTCGCAGGGAGTAAATAGACCCGATTGCCCAGTCCGCGGCCTTTTCTTCCAGCTCCTCTGACTGATTCTGCATTTCTTCAGTCAGGGAAGCGATTTTGTCCTGACTCTCCTGGAGCTCGGCCTCGAGAGCTTGCCTGTCTTGCTCAGCTTGCTGAGCCCGTGAGAAGGTCGCCTGGAGCTCCTGGTCCTTTTCTCCGACCTCCTTAGAGAGCCTGGCGATTGTCCTTTGAAGTTCCTTGACTTCCTCCGCACGTCGATTGAGCTCCATCTTCTGGAAGTCCACTGTTCGTAAAGCAGCGTCCTTTTGGCTCAGATACCTGTTCGCCGCTTCGAACGCTTGAGTTCTTTCCGCTTCAACGGACTCCAAGCTCTGTTCAGCTTTGCGACCTCTTCCTGCAGGTCGCTTGTCCCCTTGGCGGCCCCCAGCCACGTCTTTTCCATGGACATCCTTATCGCGAGCAAGATATGAGTTAGAAATAAACCAGAATGAAATTTCAAGTACAACTCGTTTACCTTGCTCAGATGCTGGAACGACGTGGTCATCAGGTCGTTGCCCGTGTCGGCAAACTCGTCGTACGACTCCGACAGCTCGCACTCGAGCAGGCCATAGACTATTGGCTGCAAGTATTCGGGCAGACTCCCCAATGAGTCTAGAACCGGCGTGTCCTTCGCCTTGCCAGCAGCGATTGCCTCGCCCACGGGCTCTTTGCCCAACCTCCTGGGTTCCTGGCGCGACCTCAGAGGCTGTTCCTCAGATTCAGTCTCTGACTCTTCGGGCTGAATCTGCTTCCTCTTCTTCGACCTCTGGGCTGGAGCCTTCCGCTTTGGGTGAGCAATTGGCGCCTGAGTGGCCTGTTCCGTCCTGGTCGCTTCTTGCACAGGACGGGGCTGGGAAGCCGGGACTGTTCGCACCGGCTATGCTGGGATTGAACGAGCAGCTTCGGCCGCCCTCTCTCTCCTCGATCTAGGAAAGACGAATGGTGCTCGGCGGGACTGCCCGGACTCCTTTGGGGGCATGGTCTCTGCATTTAAGTTCGTCAGTAAGGAAATTTATTCCATGACCAGAAAGGGACCAGTATAGCTTACCTTCTAGGGGTTCTAACGACGCCTTGTCGCTGAAAAAACCGTACTTCTGCAGGTTCGCGGTTGTCACAAGCTTCCTCGCGTCCCGTCTCTCCTCGTCCAGTACTCCAAAGGATACGAGCCTGTCTGGGTCGGCGAGTAGCCTCTGCTCGGTCGTTCTATTAACTGCAAAAGAAAACAGGTCGTTATTATGGATCAAGCGAGCAGATAATGAACTCAGCGAAAAAAAACCTACTTGGATCCTGAAAATGGCAGTGGCCGTTATAAAAGAAAAAGAAAAACTTTGTCTCATAGGCCCCCGCATTGCTGGGATAGCTGTGTATCCCCGCGGCAATGGTAGGTCGCCGAGACAAATAGTACGAGTCCTTGTCCCTACTCTTCTTAAGGTAGTAGGCGACGCCGAGATCCAACGCCGTTGGCTCTCCCAAGCCATTCTCGCAGCACGCGATGTACATCGCGACAGCGATGACATACGTGTTTGGCGTCAACTGCATTGGTGCGATCCCGAAATGATCCAGGACCGACCTGATGAAAGGATGGAAGGGAATCCTCCCTCCACCCTTGAAGATCTCCTCAGAGATCGCGGCAAGGCCATCGGGCGGATGCCGTGACGGCCTAGTGTGGTCGAGGAACACCTCCGCACGGATGTCGAACTGCCTCTTTATTCTAGTATATTCCTCGGAGGTGAGAACCGAGTAGACATCGAGAGTTGCGTCCTCGGGAGCTCCCCGCGAGGACGAGCTGGCTTCTTCCTCGGGTCTGGATGTTGACGGTTCCATTCCAGTCTGCAACATCGACAGACACGGTCATTTAGGCCTTCGTGCTTGTCCCGTGTGGCGGCAGGGGACAAATTCTTAAACCCTAACAGTAACTCGAGCCGCCGTACGCGGCTCGAATCCAATGACGGCGTCACGTCCCTGGTGAAACACCGGGAGACCCAACGCCATCACCCAACCAAGCAAATGCAAAGAAAAAGAGGAAGAAGAGAATCTTACCTTCTGCGATGAGTAACCGAGACCGAAGCTCGTTTCAGTTGCCTGAGAAGTGCCGATCGGAAAAGAATGGTTAATGGTTTGCAAAGGGCTGTCACTCGAAACAAAAGAAATTTCGGTGACCTCATCTGAAAAATGCGAGTTTTTATATGGATTGCGAATCGACGGTTACCACCCCTCGGAACCGAAACGACAGCCCACTCTCTCTCCCCGCATTAAATGCGCCCCACGTCGCATTAAATGCCGTGATAATAGTCGTCGTTTTGAATGCGCTACGCAACTAATGCTGTCAAAACGGTGTCGGGTCAGCACACGATGCATTTAATGTGTCTGACAAACGCTTCAGCGCGTGCAGAGCACCTGACAGCGTAGAACCAGGTTCATTGAATTTCTAAGGCACAGAAAGGAGTGCCCATCAAATCCAGGTTGCTAGAATGAAGATTGTCAGGTCGCTTAGGCGAGGAATTGCTCGAGATCGTGTTCGCCAAGAGACCTGTGCCGAGCTCATCCCATTCAGGTCGGAGCGACCAAAACCTCCCATACGACTTAGTTTCCAAGGTTCGTTCCTCAAACCTTAAAAACTAAGGGGCTACTGTTATGGCCTGGGAAACTAAAGGACTGACGTGGGAGAGTCACGTGAAGGGTGACCTGCTCCCGTCAGAGCAACACGCACACGTCAGGCCTGCCAAATGATATGGAGCTTACACGCGTCCATTTCCCTGCAATAAATCGTGCGAAGTCAGCTTGGGAAGAGAGCAATGGGACATAAAAACAGATTATATCCTGACAATCGCACCAAACCATGGATTTAATGATGATTACACGCTTCAGTTTGATATAAAATGAAGAAGACCCCTTCATTAAGGGGATTCGGCCATTTTCACATAGAGAAAAACTCTCTCTCTCCTGTAAACACATTTTACTTTTTCCAACTCTTTTGTAAGTCAGTCCGTAGTTGCGACCTGACCCACACTAATATCAATACAAATCAGTGGACGTAGGACTAGCTACCTTAACATCCGAACCACTTAAAAAGCTCCCTTTGCATTTATTTCGCTTTATACATTCAATTTTCACGTATATTTAACAGCCAACCAACGTTACGCACGTGACAATTCGTTGGTGCCAAAAACGAGCATCAACAGTATGATATCATCTAATTTTGCACTTAGAAAGACCTATTCCTCTGAGTAAAAGCTTCAAACCCTGCAAATTAATTAACAACATAAAAAGTTTAAAAAAAAATGTTGAGAAATTAATGGTAAAATCTAATTAATTAACAAAGTATAAATTAATAAGTTTGCTTACGGGGTGTAGTCAACGATAACCTTGCCGGCATCAGGATTAGCAATCTTAGCAAAAGCATCTTGAGAAAGATTAAGAACCCCATTGCATTCTGTTTGACAGCGATCAACCACTTTAACTACAACGTTACCAGACCTGCAAGGATGTGGAGCTTCATTGGTGCCCCTGATGCATCGCACTCTATACCTTCTCCCACAAGCTCTCCCATTGTTCCATAGGGCATCGCTTACTCCGGTCACCATCGTTCCGTCGTTGCAGTTGCCGTAGCAAGCGGAAGCTGCACTCCAAGTTCAGAATTTCAGTTCATTTCTACTGTTAGGAATGGCTCATCTCTAGATGTATGTACTTGAGAATTTCAAGACAAATGAATGGTAACGTAACAAATTAAACAATAATTTTAAAATTTTAATTGAGACAAATATGGATAAAATATACTTACGGATGTAAGGAGGTTTATAGAAAACAGCATTTCCTTGAGCGGCATGTGCTACTGAGGCTCAGCATAGCACAATACCAAGAAGCACAAAAATTCTCATATCAAACATTTTTTTTTTTTTTTTTTTTTGGGGGTATTGTATTGCTTCGTTATATAATTTTGAGGTGCAATTAAGCCAGATGTGAAATCTCCCCTTTTATAGAAGAAAAATAGAACAGAGATCTACCAGTAATTTAGTCATAATGCCCACTTAAACGTTTACTCATTGCTTTTTTTGAAAATCAATTGAAATGTTGGACTAAATAGTATTGGTTTCTAGATTGTCAGCCACTATCTGGCACCTAGTATTTTTTTTTTGGGTGGAGTTAGAGGGTTGCAAGAGTAAGTCTTTGCAAAGACTGACATAAGTCTACCACACTCAAAACAGATAAAGGATTTTATGAGAAATTCTTTTTAATTTATTAACCTATATAATTTTAATTTAACTAGAGCTTCTGATTGTCCGATTGGTCCAATAACCATATAATTACTATTGTTAAAAGGTACGTATTTCAATACATTTCTCTCAGGTTTCTTTGAATAAAATTTTCTTCCTCCAGCGTTTGAAATAACAATTTACGCTTGCTATTAATGGTCTATCAAGGTTTTTGTAATCTAATTAAATACATAGTGCCCCTAACTATTAAATTAAACACCGAAATCCTAATATAATACTTACAAGAGGAGGTGAATTATTATTTAAGAAAACCTAAAAAGGAAAACAAAGCCTATATAAATAACAAGTTTTTCTAAATTTATTAACTAAACGAAATAACTGAAAAAAAAAAATGAAAGAAAGATTTCTTTAAACCATTTTTAAACTTAAAAGTCGTATCAACACATAGAAAAGATGAATGCTACACTTACAAAAATGCATACAAAGATAAATTTAACTCTTGAAAGGAGGGAAAAAGAGAGAGAGAAAGAAGATTAAGGATATGATTTATCTTTATATGTCCCTCTTTATATGCATCTTTATAAGGCTAGTATTTCTCCGTAAAAAAGAGGAACTGTTGTTAGTCTCTTACAACCTTTCACTATTTCCTCAAACTTTTCAATGAAGGAATTAAGTAGCAAAGACCACAATACAACAATTTAATTTGTCATAATTTTCTTCGGCAAGATTTAGTATTGGTCAACCACTGGGCCTGTAACATTGTCACTATGGTGGTGGTGGAATACAAAGGAAAGATAGTGGCATTTGTTAAATATGCTTTATTCTAATGTCAATAATCTGCTGTGGTCTAAATAGGGATTTGTTGTATAAATTTTGATATTAATGACTTGTATTCAAAATCATTAATTCATTGTAGGGTTTTATCAAAGAACTAACCAAGACACTAAAATATTAAAATTCTCAGGTGCGGATATAATATACAGACTCTAGTTAGATAATATCGATAAACTATAAAAGAAAAAAAAAATCTTGTTTTTAATAGAAGAAAGTTTGACCGAATTCTTATTATGAAGTATTTGATGATGTTTGAAAATTGTTCACTAACATCGTATGTAGAAAAAAATTTATTACATAACATCTTCTCTCATGGTCGAATGGTTAGTTATATTTAAGAGGTCTTGTTTTCGAATCACAGGAGAGGCAATTACCGGTTTACCCAAAAAAGATTTATAACATAATACAAGTTCATATTAATGTTATATATATTGAGAAAACTTGTATGGTTGATGTATTATGCAGATCAATTTAGTTAAAAAAAAAAAACCAATTGTTCAATGGAATACTAAGGGCTGTTTTGTTGTGAAACATTATATATGCATGCTTTTCTGTTATATACATGAATTATTTTTCCAGTTGATTACCAGTATGAAAATATGAAACTAATAATATATTACCAATATGAAAGAAAATAAAAAATTAAACTCTTTATAAAAATAGGTATTGTGTGATTTTTGCATCATCTATTTCAATTCATTTGTTTAATTTTTGGAAGCGCTTATATGTACATGTTGAGTTCATATTTTTGTAGTTCAAGATATGAAACCTGTTACAATTTCATAACTATATTATTCTCTAATAAATAAATATTGTTTGACATAAAATTAATTAATATCTTAAAAATAAGATATCTAAATTTGTTATTTCAATCCGATATGTGCTTCCACACCAAGCATATTTAGACCGGCGAGGGGTAATATTGGACGTGACAAAGGATCATGTGATTTAGATGGGTGTGAACATTGCAATTCTTATTTCGAGTACATGGTAAAGACATCCTGTGATCAAATGGAGAAGAATGTCACATCAAATAGAAAATTACGTGAAAATATCTTTTATATATAAGAGTAATTAAATAATATCATTTAATAGACTAATTTTCATTGACAGAATCACAGAACCAAG